AGTGCTCTATCGCTGAGCCACAACCCCAACCCATTCTGGATTTCTTGATGGTGCCTAAATGCAATTACAAATATCTTTATAAGAGAATGGCAGAAGCTGGGCATAGTGTTGGACCCCTGCAATCTCAGCTACTCTGGAAGCTGAGGTAGGAGGATCACAAGTTTGAGATCAACCTGGACAGGTTAGCTAGATCCTGTCTCAAAATAAAAAATGAAAAGACCTGGGGATGTAGCTCAGTCATAGAATATCCTATGGTTCAATTCCTAGTACCAGGAGAAAAAAAAAAAAGCGAGGTGGGGGGAGGCAGAGGGATGTTTGAAAAAGAAAAGGAGGCATTGTGAGGACTGAAGCAAGATGCTACACCATTGACTATGAAGATGGTAGAAAGGGCCATTTATAGGATACCATGTGATGTTTCAATACATGAATATGTTGTATAATGTTCAGGTCAGGGTAAACTTATCTGTTTCTTCAAACATTTACCCTTCATGGTAAAAACATTCAAAATTATTTCTTCTAGCTTTTATTTTTATTTTTAATATTCAGCACATCATAATTATCTGTAGTCATCCTGCTGTGCAACAGAACATCAGAACTTATCTCTCCTATTTAATGATAGCTTAATTCCCATTGTCCAACCTTTCCCCATCTTAAGTTAAACTTTACATATAGTCTGAGGTAAGGGTCCAAGTTCATTCTTTTGCTTGTGACTACCCAGCTGTCTCAACATCATTTCTAGAAGAGAATATTTTTTATTCTTTTTTGCATTGAATGATCTTGGCACTCTTGTTAGAAATCAGTTGACCATGGAAACATGATTTTATTCCTGGTCTCTCAATTCTGTTCCATTTATTTATATGTCTACACTTATGCTAATACCATACTGGCATGATTACTGTTGCTTTTTTTGTTTTGAAATTGGGAAGCGTGAAACTTACTTTTTTTTTTTTTTCCAAAATGGTTTTGACTATTCTTTCAATTGCTTATAAATTTTAGAATCAGGTTTTCAATTTGTTCCTTCCTTCCTTTTTTTTTTTCTCTTTTCTTGCAGTATTGGGGATTAAGCCCAGAGCAAGTGCTCTACCACTGAACTACAGCCCTTTTTATTTTATTTTGAGACAGGGTCTCGGTAAATTTCCCTTACTGATCTTGAACTTGCAATCCTCCTGCTTCACCCTCCTGAGGAGCTGAGATGACACGTGCATACCACTGTCCTTGCTTCCCCGAATGCTGAAGTATAACACCAGAGAAGCACATGGAGGCTAGTGGAGAGTGGAAAGTGGAAGGCTTTATTAAAGGACAGCAGAAAAGACTTCTCCCAGAGGAAGAAGGGGACCCAAAAGGCGGAATCCGTGAAAGGGGGAGTGTAATGCCAGATTCATGGGACCCCAATAGATCTCCAGGAGCTGAATCCGATGCAATCACACAATAGTCTTTATTGCAAGCTGGAGCCTGGACTCACAACCATTTCCGATTCGGCAGTCCTGAGGAGTGAGTCCTGGTCCTTTGTTCAGTGAGATTTTATAGGTTTTTTTTTGGATACAACAACTCTTAACATTGATTAACACATTCACTGGCGGGAACAAGTTGGGTAGGGGTGAGTGGTTAGTACAAGAGGGGGGTTCCTTTGAAGTGATTGGTTTAAACCATGAGGGATGTATGTGCTAAACTGCATGGTTTCCCAACATGTTATCAACCACCATAAACTACGGGGGGGGGGGGGGGGGGGGGGGGGGG